TGTGTCAACTTGAGGTTTATTGTTATTATGTATTTCTTGTAAATGAGAGTCTCTCTTCTCTCTCAACTCTCATCTTCTTCTCTCTTCTCTTCCTCCTCTCCCTTCTCTCATTTCTTCTCTCTTTCCCTCTCCCCCCTTCTATCTCTCTCTCTCTCTTGTTTCTCCTTCTCCTCAGCCTCTCTCTCTTCTCTCTCTCTCTCTCTCTCTCTCTCTCTCTCTCTCCTCTCTCTCTCTCTCTCTCTCTCTCTCTCTTCTCTCTCTCTCTCTCTCTCTCTCTCTCTCTCTCTCTCTCTCTCTCTCTCTCTCTCTCTCTCTCTCTCTCTCTCTCTCTCTCTCTCTCTCTCTTCTCTCTTTCTCTCTTCTCTCTCATCTCTCCTATCTCTCCTTCTCTTTCATCTCTCATCTCTTCTCTCATCTCTCATCTCTCTTCTCTCTTCTCTCTTCTCTCTCTCTCTCTCTCTCTCTCTCTCTCTCTCTCTCTCTCTCTCTCTCTCTCTCTCTCTCTCTCTCTCTCTCTCTCTCTCTCTCTCTCTCTCTCTCTCTCTCTCTCTCTTTCTTAATCATGATTAAATCTTATAATTAACCTTCAACCTCAAAGCCTTGACTACTTCCTGCTTATTGTCTACCTATATATATATTGTAAAAAGAATCATATGCATTGTTGCATCATAAAGGTGTTTCTGATTGTTGTGATTGTGTTTCAGAAAGTGTTTGTAATTCCGATTGTTGAAATTCAGGTGAAAGTTGATACTTAAAGCAGTTCTTTTTCATATAATTGTTACTTAAAATGATTTGTGAGGTCTGCGTACATTAACGGAAATAGACTGATTCGGTCTCCAGCGGAAATTGCATAGCCTCGCATTTTGTGACAGCTTTTAAGATGATTAATGTAACTTATTCTACCACTGAAATATCAGGAAAGGCTATTCATTATTCCATGATTTAGATATTTTGTCCATGAAAAAGAAATGAAGAAAAAGACAGTAATTAAGATCATAAATTTGGATACTGGTAGAGAACTTTAATTGTATTGCTTTTAACTTAGTGTTTTTTTACCCTTAAAGGATGAAGTACAAGAAATTCTATTTTTGGATATGAGCACACTGCGCACAGACCAGCAAAAGTTATTTGTTCATATTGTTCTTATTATGAGTATCCAAATTAAAGCAATTTCAATGCTGCATTGATGATGTATTAAAGTAAACAAAACAAAACAAAAAATATTCATGAACTGAACTTGCTGTCTGGTAAATGTCATACTCACACACATACAAAATGCACATATCAATACATTTACCTTACACATCTATATACAAATACAAATGTATGCATGGCAGATTAGTCATTCCTGTTCAGGTTGTGAGAAATCTCATTTTGAAATTATTTCCCTAGTTATCTAATGCATATTTATTTATGCGTAAAATTTCCGTTTTGGGTGTTGACGTTAATCTTGTGACTGTTTTTATCCATTAGTGTTTAAGAGGCATATGTATGTATTCCTGGGGGTTATTCTAAAGATTTCAGTCATTGTATATATTAATTACTTCCTGGTCTACTTTGAAGGATATTTTAGACTGGATAAATTAAATGCTTATGATTATGTATTCTTGTAGTTTGGTAAAGATATCACGCTGTCCTTTTTTTCATCTTGTACTTCTGTTATAATTTACTAATTTTATAAATCTAATGCAAAAGTTTGTTTATTACATTTGCTGTGCTTATGTTGAAGGTAGAATGTAGAATTATTAAACTCTGTTAAAGCTCATGAAATTTACCAGTGAGATCAAAAATGGGTATTTTATGATTAGGCCCCAAGGCCCTTTTCTAAAGATGCATTCCAGCTGACCCAAAAGTTCTATTTATCCAACTTATTGGCTACAAGAAATGTAATCTTTTTCTACTTGAATATACAATTTAAGATGTAGAACGTTCAGGAAATTAGTTCAACCTTTCCATAATGGCACTGAACTTCCTGACTACTGGTGCTATTGCACAAGAAAGCATGTATGTATTTTGGAAGTCAGGTTATAACAGCAGTGGTGACTGTGAAAGATAACTGGTTCTGCTGATGCCTTTCTTCAGTGCAGAAATATGAGGTGTTACATCTTCACAAGATGTATAAAATGTGTCTGTATTTTATGTGTATCTTTATTGTATTAAAGATGTTATGTAACAGAGGGATAAATGGATTAACATATATCACAAAATTATGTTGTCGATAACCCATGATTCCCTCTGGAGAACTACTGTTCTTTGACAGGAATAATTGCAAACCATTCAAAAACCAAAGGAAACCATGATGTTGAAATACACTGCAAAGAAAATTAATGTACCAAATTAACCAAAAGGTCCCCCCAAATGTGAAAAAGTACAGTAAAATCCAGCATCTCTACTCTTGATGTATACATATTATTGGAAGATATCTGGATATTGCACCATGATTAAGGAATATGTAAAGTGTAAAGTATTCATCCCTTTGGTGAACCTTCACGGGCCACTTGGTACTCGTAAAATGAAAACACCTCAGGTCAATATATTGCAGCTTTTAGGATGCATTATTCGTGGTCTTATCCGTGGAAGTAGAAATCAAGTGCATCATTAGATAATGTTCTAGAAAATGTAGTTGAATAGTACCTTCATTTATCTATATGATGCTTAATTAAATGTCCGAATGGAATTAGTATTTGGACGCAGAGTTAGTAAAACCACCTGATCAGAATCAGGTTAGCTGATGGGTAGGTTCATAGCTTCAGTTTACATCCGTTAACTATAAATCATAATATTCTTAAGAGCAGCATAAGCATACCCACTATTCTCAAAATTCTTACGAAAAAGCACAGGCATACCTACTAATTTACTTTGATACTCACACGCATACATTGACCAAGCCATTATTATGGGTTAAGTATGCAATTCATTTTATATATGTACAAACACTATTTATGCTGGTTTAGAGGCACACTTGTAATGGTTTTCATATAGTACAATAAATTGTACATGTTAATGGCTATAATAGTTAAAATATGAAATTATATAAAAAATACTTAAAATTTCCAATAGAATAAGATTTTATGGTAAACTTGTATTAGGGGAAAATAGAATATATTGTAAAAGAAAAACAAAATCTTGTAATTCTGTAATAATTTTTGAAGTTATATGCATTCTAAAGTACATGAAATAAGATTTGGTGTATAGAAAAAAGTGAAAATTTGGAATTTCTAAGAATTTAAAAATATATATACTTGTGGTTTATGTGTTTAATTTCTAGTGAAAGCCCATAACATGTTTTTATGAATGTGATTCTTACTATCAGTTTTATGTATTAGGATATATTATGATCGTCGCAATGGTTATGGGGAATCTTTGTTGGAGTAATTTGGTTTTACAATTCACTATTGTAATTTCGTTTGTGAAGTCTGTGATGTATGATGTACTTTTTATGTACAGTGATAAAAAAGTGAGAATTTAAATTTTGTTTTTTTAATCTTTCCTTCAGTCTTATGCCAACAGAATATGGTTGACCATAAACTTAACACAAATAAAAGCTAGTGACCTGATTCAAACACAACAGAAAGAAAAGAATCTGCACAAACATAGCAAATGTGGTATATGGAAAAAAAATAATATATAATATAATATATATATATATATATATATATATATATATAGTATGAGAGAGAGAGAGAGAGAGAGAGAGAGAGAGAGAGAGAGAGAGAGAGAGAGAGAGAGAGAGAGAGAGAGAGAGAGAGAGAAGAGAGAGAGAGAGAGAGAGAGAGAGAGAGAGAGAGAGAGAGAGAGAGAGGAGAGAGAGAGAGGAGAGAGGAGAAGAGAGAGAGAGAGAGAGAGAGAGAGACCTTAGAACCCTCAATCTACCTCGCAGCAGGCTTACAGGGGTTCACTCTGAGGGTTATATGAAGCTCAGTGTCACCAGATGCTATGCTTGTGCAGGAAAAAAAAAAGGCACGCAAGGTTATTAATAAGAAGGCATTAATTATAAACTGGCACACTATGCTCAAAGGCTGCCGACCCCTGATATATACATAGGTGAAAAAAAAACAGTCGAGAAATTTCAATGTTTTAATGTCTTCAGTCATATACCAAATACATATCACTCCTGATCAGTTAATAATCGAGTAAAATTATGATAGTTATGATAATACTAATGAAAATAACAATTACAATAATGATGATAATATTAAGGATGACAATAATGACAGTAATAATTATGATAACAAGAATAATTAAAAGAATATAGTAGTAGCACTACTGGTAATGATAATAACTGAGAGAAAGAGAAAGATAGGCATCTTTTCCAGCGGTTACGGGAAACGCGACACCTCTTGCGCGACAGGAATCGAGCAGACGGTTAACTTTAAATGAGTTGCCAGATGCATTCCTCCTACTTTGGATATTTCATGCATATTCGTACTTATATTGGATATCTATAACACCGCACTACTCACCATAAGATATCAAAAGCCATCTTGGATATCATATTCCAAAATACTGTTTACCTGTTGGAAAAATAACCAGTACAGTAAAATAGCAAGCCGTCAACCGCGATCATTCCCATTACGTCACAGAAATGGGCGGAGCTTAGAGGCCTGTCTCGCCTCCGATCACGAGACACTTATTTTTGTGTGTCTCGTGATAGGTGTCGCGGAGCGTTTCGCGACACCCTAATTGCCACCAGAAAGGATGCCTTAGATAGAGAAAGAGAGAGAGAGAGATAGAGATAGACAGATAGAGAGAGAGAGAGAGACAGATAGACATAGATAGAGAGAGAGGGAGAGCTTAGAACCCTCTCTCAGTGATGGTGCAGCAGGCTACCCGAGCACCAGCGTTGCCAGTAGCGAGTGAACCTTCGTCGCCGCCGAGACCCAGGTCGTCTTCCAGGGCGTGGACGACCACCGCGCGACCCGTGATGTTGCGCTCCAGGTCGTACAGGCTAATGATCGTGTCCATTATCTGGGGGGGAAGGATTGGATTTGTGAGGGATA